GTATAAGCATTAAACAGCCAAGATAACTAGCAGAGTGTGTCTCGTTGCGAAAATTATCTTTTTTTTTACATTCTGCTGTCATATGATTACCAGCATATTTAGCACATCTAGCCCCTCTTTGGCAAAATCTTCGTGTATGACTGAACCTCTGGCATCTCATGCATTGCGGGATGAATCCATTATTTCTAAGAAGTTCAACTTTTATTCTCATGTGCTGAAGATATTCTATTTTTTATATGTTATTTATGTCACTGGTGTAATCGAAACGCAACATAAAAAGAAGCAACTTTCCTCTTTGAAAATTCTTATTAGCTGCGTGTAACTAGTTACATTACTTAATATCACAGAGGAGGTTTATGTTTTCTAAGTTGATCATTCTTCTTTGATGGAGAGTTCTCCACCCTGGTTACTCCAATCGGTTTTTCTAGGTAACAGCTAAATAAATTATTGAAAAGGTACTTTAGCGGTTAGGACCTGGATGGCTACACAAAGATACTATAAATGTACTATAAATGTGAATTTTTAAAAATTAAAATTAGTTCTCATAAGTCAACAAGAACACCAATTAAAACTATTTCTTTTGAAAGATTTTTATCATTACCAAAACAACAAGAAACCAACACCTTAAGTCACAGATTTTGCATTAAGGCAAAAAATTAAACAACTTACGACAGCTGAATTGGAAATTGCCCTGTGTTCCATATTCAAACTAGAACAAACTCTCTTTGACACAGAAATTAGCTGCCTAATCAAATTTAAGTTCCTGATTGTTAACAGTAAGATACTAGAGCTTCGCCCATTTTCGAAACATCGTATCTTAAGAGCGGGAAGAAGACTATGAAGAGCGGATATCGACGGCAACTCCAAATATCCTGTTATAATACCAGGTTCGGGTCATTTGGCATCATTAATAACAGGCCACGCACAACAAAAAACACTTCATGTAGGAAAAGACTTAACTACATACATATGTCATGCCATTTTGTATCAGAGCAGTCAATACAATGGCATTTTATTCCTCCGGGCACTCCCCATTTAGGGGAACTATGGAAACCGGAGCAAAATTGGTAAAACGTTTATTAATTATTGAGGATACTAAATTCGCATTTCAAGAATAGGAACACTTCTAGCAAAAATCGAAATTAATTTAAACTCACAATTCACTGACACCATTTACAGGACACATAGATGATATAGAAGCGTTAACACCAGGACAGTTTTTGTAAGATTCAAAACTATCTAATGTACCTACAGGAAACATGATAAATGTGCAAGAAAATTGGCTTCGACGATGGGAATCAGCAATTCTGGGAAAAATGGTCAAATGAATACCTCTTTAGTTTATTCCTGCGGGAAATAATTACATATATTTAAGTAGCATAATTTTTACATAAATAGGTCAAATTTTCAATTAATTAATTAACTTCAAACTAATCAAGAAGTTTTTCATTTAAACTGCCAAACACACTGCGACTTTTCGCAGCCGAATGTGAGAAAAAAGGTGAGAGATTTGCAATAATGACATTAACTTATCCGCTCGTATTATTTATAGTTATATTTATTAATGTCTTTATATCTAACAAGTCCCAATGCTCAGAGAGAAACTTGAAAGCACGACCATATTTTATATGGGTTTTTTAAATCGAAGTGGCTATTTTTTGAAAAGAAATATTAAAATAAATTCACACTTATTATAAAGCAGGTAAAATTTAGAAAATATATTTGAAAAATCAAAAAAATATATTAATATTTTCATTGATAATTATTTTAAAATTATAAAAAAAGTGGAAAAACAACAAGCACATCCTTCGCCTTCAACGTTTTATATGTTACTGAAAGCATTTCATTATTTTTAAGTTGACAGCTTTTTTTTTCTCATAGGGTAAGTTAACTCAAGATATGGGGAGTAACTGTGGTGTCAAGTTAAAAATATAATTAATGAAAGATAATTCTTAAATATTGATATAAATACATAGTAAAGAAAAAATTGAAGAGGGAATTAGAAAATAATATCTAAAATACAATCAAATATTATTTGTTAAATACAAATTTTATAAACTTCAAAATTTTACCTCCATTTTAATTTGAAAAAATATTAAAAACTTTCTATCATTTATATCAATTACCTAAGAAAAAAAAATATTTAAAATGTTTGGAAAAAACAATCATACATTTTATGACCGGATTTGAATATTTTTTTATTTTTGAAATAAATGGTATTTCACCAAATGACTCAAAAATTTCAACTGTAAAATAACAGGTATTTTAAAATTTTTGTTCTTTATGTAATATTCTTTCCGTTTAGAATTAAGATAGGTCATACATACACATGCAGGAACATTTTATAAATAGATTGCTCTTGTTTACCTGCTAATAAAATATGAAAAAAGAGAACAGCAAAATTTTTGAAGCACTCAATATAACATGTTTTAAATAGTTTTAAAATAATTATTTAAAAAAAAATTTATTAGAAGTAGGTACATACATATTTATTTTTAATAACTTAAAAACTAACTGAAGTTATTTGAAACAATTTTATAAGTAACGTATAAATAACCGAAATGAGTTAATTCAAATTGTTGAAATTTGTCAACCTATATTACTTTACTAACATTTTTGTTAGCCAACACTACTCAACTTACCTTATTTGGAAATGCAAAATGTGCATGAAAAAACATACATCCTCCCTCATTAACATTTGAAACCATACTGAAATATGAATTTGAAATTTTTTTTTCATTTTTTCTTTCCTCCTACCTTTCTTTCTTTTTTGTGCAATAGAATTTAAATGGGAAGCTTTTTAAAAAATGTGTATAATATTCTGAGATTTTTTAAAATATTAAACTCTTTTTTACGTAAAAAAAAAGAAAAAAATAATAAGAAATATGACACGATCAGTAGCATTTAAAGAAAAAAACAGGAACGAAGCCAAAAATTCGTAATATTTCGGAAAAAAAATTGAGTATTGGGACTTGTTAGATATAAAGACATTAGTTAGGTTATTAACTTTTTATACATATGTTTAAAACTTTTTTTGGATTTTGAGTTTTTATTTTGTTTTTTTTTAAAGTACATATGTATGTACATATGTACATAAATTTTTATTGTTTTGTTAAGTTTTCATTCTTAATACCATTAGGGCATAGTCCCCTAGAGCTGATGGCACTATAAAAAAATGCAGTTTTTCTTTACCTCAAGGATGGTGTGCAAATTCTTTTAGAAAAAAATAGGAATAAACAAATTTTTAAAGTTAATAAAAAATGTTTGTTTTTATTTCAACTTTTGTTATATTTCAGTTATATTTCAGTTTAAAATATCGTTCACAAATTCTTCACAGATTCTTTTTTTCGATAGCTCTAAAAAGCTGAGACTCTTTTTATAAAAGAGTAATAATTATTTGTGTATTTTTCATAATTTATTTCGAAAAAAAAAACAATAAATATTACCCTCAGCTCTGAAGAACCATTATTACAGATTCAAAATCAAAATTACTTTTATAATTCAAAATAAAAAATAAAGGGTGTCCGACAAATATTAACGGTTCTTAATATTAACAAATATTAAGAACCGTTAATGGTGCTTTCTATGGCGATATGATAATTCAGTCTTGTTCTAAAATTGCGACTATAAACATGTGGATGTGGATGGTATGTGACGTCGACACATCCCATACAGCCCGAAAAACAATTCAATTACTACATGAGTCATTTTCTGGTCGCGTAATTTCTCGTATTGGTGATCAGAATTGGTCGCCAGATCATGTAATTTAACGCCGTTGGATTTTTTTCTTTGGGGTTTTATGAAATCTAAGTTAATGTTAACAAGCACACGAATACCTATGCCTTAAAGGAAATTGAGGGCTGTATCAAATTCAGCCACATTTATGCAAAACAATCATGGAGAATTTCAACAAAATAGTGCGTATATGCCAGCAAAGTCATGGAAGTCTTTTCCCCGATGTGCTATTCCATAGAAACCCTATACTGTATACTATTGTAAATCTATAAAAAATTTACAATTTTTAGTAAAAAACCTGTGTTTTCTATCAAAATTATTTCTTTCTTTAAAAGTAATTTACTTTATTTTTCGATAATAAATATTATTATAAACATTATAATTATTTAAAATAATTAAATTATTAACTTCTCAGCTCCCTTTTTAACTTTGTTTCATCACAAAATCACCAAAAAAATTCATGCACAGCTGAATTAATTATAATATGCATGGAATATTTCCCGATTATACTTATTTTTTTGCACCACTGATAATTTATATGTAGTACAAATATTTGTATTCAAAAAATGCTCTAGTTCATGGATGGCAATTAAAGGGCACGCGTGCCAAACTTGGCACGGAAAAAAAATTTGATGGCACGTTATAGTTGTGCCTCGACAAATTTTTATATAGATTTTTTTCTAATAAAAAATCTAAAAACTCGTTGAAAAATTGATTGAATGAAAAATTTCCTAAAAATGATAATTTCCTAATAGCGAAATGACAAATATTCAAAACCAAACATATTCAAATGTTATATTCTTTTTATTTTTGTTTTTTTTCACTTCACTAAGTAAAGTATTGAAAAAAAATTGAAAACGAAAAAAAATTCAAACCGCTTTGAAAATGCATTGAGTATTCAAAAATTTCAAAAAAGAAAAAACATAGTAAACTTTGAAGTTTTCTTTTTAAAACAAAAAAGTTGTGGTTTTTAGGGTATGAAAAATTATCCATATTTCATTTGGAGCGAAGTTAGCAAGAGTGAATGTCATAATTGTTTTTCTGAGTTTACACAACACGTGTCGTGTTTAGTTTTTTACCGTTATTTTTAATTGAAAATACTTCTAATAGAAAGTGAATGAAAAACATCGACCAATTTCTAATGCTAAATATTTTTACAGCTGTAAACTTGATTTCGGTAATGAACTAATTTAACAAATAAACATTATTTAAATATATATAATTTTTATCGTGTAATTTTAGATTTAATTATTTACCCCATTAACATGTCACCAATAAAAAAACAAAAACTACAGGATGTTCGCAGTTTTTTACCATCTTGGACAATTGATTACGGCTTTATTAAACATGGAGATAAGAGTCGTTGTGGTCTGTGTTCCGAAGTTATTGTATGTCGAACATCTTCTATTAAACGACATTTTGAAACTAATCACAGGGAAATTTCTGAAAAAAATATTGCCGAAAGAAGAGAATTAATATCACAACGATTAAAAGATGTTGAAAAACAGTCAAATTTGTTTTCAAGATTTGTGAAAACTCCTAATAATATAACAGAAGCGAGTTTTGAAATTTCTTATTTGATTACTAAACACTCGAAACCATTTTCTGACGGAACGTTTATAAAAACACTTATGTTAAAAGCTGCTTCCAGTTTGTTCCAAGATTTTAATAATAAGGAAAAAATTCTCCAAAGAATACAAGAATTACAGATGAGTAGAAATACTATTAAACAAAGAATTTTAAAAATGAGCATTAATATTTCCGAACAACTTCAAACCGATATTAATAGTTGCGATTTCTTCTCAATTTGTTTGGATGAAACAACTGACATAAACTCGTCTGCCCGATTAGCAATTTTTGCACGTTATTCAAAAGGGAATGAAATACGCGAGGAGCTGTTGAAATTAGCAAATATACCGGAAAGAACAAGAGGTGCAGATATTTGTGAAGTTGTTGTTAATGAATTAAAAAGCCCTAATCTCAATTTAAAAAAAATTGTTTCTATTACAACGGATGGAGCACCTAATATGACTGGTCCGGCAACAGGGTTTGTTAATTTATTTCAAGAACATGTAGGACATCCGATTATAAGATTTCATTGCATCATTCACCAGCAAATGCTTTGTGCAAAAGTAGGTACTAGCGATTTAAAAGAAGTTTCAGAAAAAGTTAATAAAATTATAAACTTTATTGTTGCACGTGATATGCACAAAAGACAATTTAAAAAACTTTTAAATGATGTCGATTGTGGATATGACACTCTTTTAATGTGCAATAACGTGCGTTGGCTGAGCCGGGCCATATCGTTAGAAAGATTTGTGAGCTGCTTGGATGAAATACGTCTGTTTTTGCGTGAAAACAATAGGGTCGATTTTAAAGAACTTGATGACATAGAATGGCTAACAAAATTAATGTTTTTCACTGATTTAACATTACATTTAAACTCTCTAAATAAAAAATTGCAAGGGCGTGGGAAGACGATTGAAGTTATGTTTGGACTTATAAAGGGGTTTGAAGTTAAACTAGATATTTTCATTAGAGATATCGAATCTGGAAAATTTGAATATTTCCGAAAACTAAAAGTTTTTTTTGATGAAATACACATTTTTGAAAAAACTAATTGGAATTTCACCTATGAATTTACAAATATTCTTGTTTCTATTAAGCAACAGTTTGCACAAAGATTTCTCGATTTTAAAAGGATCGAAAATTATTTAAAAATTATTAATTACCCAGATTTATTTGATATGCAAGATTGTGACAATAACCTCCATAATTGGATGCGATTAGATAATTTAGAAATGCAAATTATTGATCTGCAATCCAATCCAATTTGGGTAAATAAATTTGTGAATATGCGGAAGCTTGTTGAAGATTTAGAAAGCCATCGATCCCAAAATGTGGAATCAGAATGTTTCATGGAAAGTAAAATTTTAGAAGCTTGGAATAGTATGCCAGATACCTTTTATTCTGTCAAAAAATTAGCAATCTCGTTGTTAACGATTTTCTCTTCCACTTACTCTTGCGAAAGTCTTTTTTCCGTTTTGAATCATGTACATTCAAAGACTAGAAACAGATTGACAGAGGAAGATTCGGCAGCATGTATTACTCTGCAGTCAACAATGTACCAGCCCGACATAAAAACTCTTGCAAGTAATATGAAACAAAAAGTTTCTGATAAAAAATTAAATTAATATTTTTTCTATCTGTATTTATTAATTTTTATACCTTGAACTATAATATGTATAAATAAATATTATTACAACTTGTCATAATATTGTATTTACCTAACCATACCTGTACTTGGTACTGTGCTGGCACGGGAAAAAGTGTGACAATAAATTTCCCCAAATTTTGGCACTTTGATCAAACCCTATTTGCCATCCCTGCTCTAGTTGCTTTAGCTAACGCTTCTTGTTACGCATTATTATTAGGTATCAAATTCAAACATTCAATTTTGTTACTACCCTATTAATTGTTGCAAATGTTAAAAACATTATATATATATACATACATATATACCATACGCATGTTTGTATGAAAGAACTGGGTTTAACAAATTTTCAATAGAAATTTTAAGATTTTTAATAACGTCCAATGTATCCAAATTTATGTAATAAGATTTAATTTGTGCTTTTTGTTATATTTAAAATATGTCTTTGGTGGTTTTTAATAAGTTATTACGCCAGAATCGCTGTATAACACAAGCTGTGCAATTCCGTTTTAGGAATTGTATATACTACTACTTTTCAAGACTGAATTCGCATAAATCGAACACAAGTTTAAATTCAAACCATAAACCAAAGAATGAGGTTTCTGACAAAATAAAGCCCATTAAAGAAAGAATTAAAGAAAATGCAAAAGTAAGATCAACATTTTTTAACTGAAATTAAGTGCCATTATCAATATTTCTAGACTGCTAGCTATATTGGAGTGATAGTACTAGGATTTGGAGTTACTGGAATTATGTTTTACACAATTTCTAAAGAATTATTTTCGTCAAAGAGCCCAAACACCGTGTACAACAAAGCACTTCAACGAGTTATCAGTGTAAGTAAATTTATGTTTAATTGAACTACTTTACATAGGCAAATAATTAAAAAAAACTTAAATGTATGTACGCAAGTATACGTACATTGTATTTATATCAAGTCAAGGCCTGGGCTCTGACTTGATATAAATATCAAATTTGTATTTATATAAAGTCAAGGCCTGGGCTCTGCTTTTTTTGCGAATGTACATATATTTGTAGAATTGCATATAGATGTGTTTTTGGCGAAATAACATTTCTGAAGAATAATTTTTTTTATTGTCATTTAGGAAAAATGACGATTTTCATTTCGAGTATTCTATACGAAAAGTTGACCAAGACCTAAAAATTTTTATACTAAAATCAAATTTAGGGTTTTCTGAACAACATATCGAAAATTCAAATTTCAACTCAAAATTTTAACTATAATTTTGATTAAATATATACAAGTTTTTCCGCATTTTTTTGTACCGCAATATCAGACAGCGTATCTGAGAAAATTGAGAGTAAAAAATTATAATATAGTGAAAAAAAATTTAATGCTCTATTTTTTAGTGTAGAATACATGACTTGTGGATTGTAGATTGTAAAGATGGAGTAACAGTGCACTACGACCACGTAAAGGATCTATACTCAGATGAAAACTTATACGAATTGTTACAACTTTAACCTTATTACACTTCTCTCATCTCTCAACATAAGTACCAAAAAGTAAATTCCATCTTTAATGCCAACTTTAGAAAGAAGAGGGGTCTACAATTGATCCAATACTATGTTTAATATATAATTGATCCAATATCATGTCTACTATACATTTTTCACCTCTCAAAAATTTTATTTGTAAGAAAAGCTCCAAAAATTTAGCAATAGAAATTTTTCTCATCTTATACATATACATATTCAATTAAAATCTTAAAATTCAGTTTTCAACAAAAATTAATAATAATTGACAGTTATAGAACCTTAAATTAAAGCAGAAATAGTAGCATTTATTTGAGTTCACACTTTATTAACTATTTTTATTTTATGAAATTCAATTATTTATGTAGCTGTTGTTCTGTAAAAAATTTTTTAAGGTTTAATGACCTAAATTAAAGCTTAACAAACTGGGCTAAATTGCATAAAATAAATTTTAAAGTTATCCCTGCAACTGTAGGGATAAAGAAAATAAAATAATCCTAACTTTTTTAGTTCTAAATTTCAAAAACTTGAAAATTTTCTAAAGTTTGAGTGTTTATGTTTCCAAAAGTAAAATATGTACAAATACTAGTCCTGCTACAAATACTAGCTTTTTCAAAAACTCTGTGTTTAAAACCCCAATCTTTTTCGGAAGAGCAGTTATAAACAAAAAGACTTGGAGAAATTTCGTGGAAATTCGTTAAAATCCTTGTACTTCACAAAGCTTTGAGGTTCGACACCCATTCTGCTCAAAAGTTCTACTCATTTTTGATTCCACCGATGGTATAAGCTGTTGTATACGTTTCTGAATCATCCCGTTCGTTGCATAAAGTAATAAAATCTTGGTATCTTGGCACGCCTATGTTGCTTTGGCCTGCCGCAGCCCCGGAAGATTTCTCCAGCGTTCCATCCGTTTCCTTTCTGATTCTAGAATACTTAGAATACTTAAATTTATTAGAAAAATAGATTTTAATTTAAGTTTGTAATTATGTGATTTTAAGTGCTATAATTGTGAAAGTGCTTTTAAAATTTTATAATCATTATAAAGGATGCATCATTCCAAGTTGTACCCTATAAAAACAAATATAATAAAAATATTATAAAGAAACTCGTGTAAGTTTCAAAGTTACTGATGCGATAGTTTAGGTAGGATAGTAAATTAGCTTTAGTAACAATGTGAAAGAAAAGAAAGTAAAAAAAATGGATGGAACCTGGAAGGTTTCTTTTAAATTAATTTTTTAATAACACAAAACTTTAAGTAGAAAAAGATTGAATTTTAACTTTTTCTAATTAAAATTTGAAAAAAGTTGATCTTTTGAGAGATTTATGATGTAAAAAGGGTCCTCTATAGATCCCATAAGAATACGTGTAAATTTGTCAGCTGTGCATTGTCACTCTCTCTTAGGGTCCAGGTCTGTTTTTCTGTCAGCCGCGATATCGGTCGAGAAAAATTAGAAGCTTCTATCACACTTCTTTATTCGAAACATATTTGCAAGCAATTTCTATCTCGTACAAAACATCTGGCCAAGTCAAAAATATATGTTTTATTAACATGTTTTTTATTTGTTTATTTTTTAGTCACCGACTCATTACAATAAGTTCCATATAATCGTTTTAAAAAAAAAACTTGATGACCTGATGTAAAATGACAATAAAAATTTTATCTATAAAATGATATCAATAAAAAATAGATTTCAACTCAAAAATATAATTCAAAAACAAAATAATTAAATGTGCAAAAAAATCAAATTTTAGTAAGTTTGTGCAATACTATATTAACTATGTTATAATGTTTTTCAAGCATATAATGCAATTTTCATAAATGACAAAATTTGATAATGAAAATATAAACTATATACCGCAATCTATGCAAACTAATTGTAGTAGCTAATGCAGTATCGGTATATATATACAGAAAAAGCTACAATATAATGCGGGAAATTTTTTTATAAAACGTCTACATACATAAAAAATTATGATAAAAATTTTTTTACTTATAATAACCAAAGTATATCTACTAATAAGTAATTCGACTCGTTCCATTCCGTTAGTTTTCATTTGCATCTTGCTTCCAAATTCTTAAAATATTCCATATTTTTGTAGAAATAGATGGTAATAAGAGTTGTGTAGGCAAGAAAGAAACAAAATATTGTAAACAAACGAGTGTATCAAAAACATTGAACTAAAATAAAATAAAATTAAATTAGGTAAAGATGTGAAAAGGTAAATATGTACTTTTTTCAAAAGTACATATTTACCTTTTCATATCTTTTGGCAACAAATGAAATTTTCGTGTCGGCTTTTTGTCATCCCAAACACTTCAAATAATGTTTACCCATTATTATAAAAATTTTTTTTTTCCACAACTACTTAAAATTTTTTTAATATTATACGTCTTTTTAAAATTTATTTTTATTATTTTTCACATAAATTATAATAATTTTTTTTAAACACTTTTTTTCCGCTTCGCTTTTATAATATGAATACACATTTTTTACCACCTTGTACTGGAATGAATTACAGAAATTATTGTGTCGCTTTTAAAATTCTTAATATTTTTCCCTATACTTTATATAGGATGCGTATAAAACGCATTTCAGAAAAGTGTATAATGTCAAGAGCTTTTACTAAACTTTTTGGAATTTGATACTTTGTAAAATTTACGTCGTAAGCGCTTTATTGAAGTCACGGATTATGAGAGGTATCTAAAGCCAATACGACATTGTCCATTCTGAAGTTATATAAATTAGAACTTCTAAAATTTATTAAACTGTTACCACGAAATAGTTCTTTCAAAACCCTTTAGAAATATAAGCGCCTAGCAGGAAGGATATTTAAATTGGAATATAAAGGAAAACTATATGCAAGACTATTACATTTAGATATTATTAGCCTAGTATTAACTGATTTTTGATGGAACATCTGCAAAATAATAATATAATACATGTGCAATTTATTTTTGACCATTATTAAACTACATATTGTGACACTACATATTGTGTTTATGAATTTCTGGTTCATACTTTTTGTTGTTTTGCATTTCAGTAATTCTCTAAAAAAAACAAATTTTACTAATAACTGCTGATATAAAGTATTGAAATATTTTTTTTGGTAAGTTAGAAATGTAAGTAAGTTTATGAACTCGTTTCGTTAAACAGGTTAACCAAACATCGCGTTTATTAAAAAACATCTGTATAAAAGTATTTGTTAAAACGGAGTTTTTATGCAACTTATTTAATTTATATGTAATTTTGTGAATATTTTTTAAAATAATTGAAAAATTTTAAAAAAATTATATTAATTTGATGAATTAAAATTAGTTTTTCAATGGATTTTTGCCCAAATTCCAAGGAAGTTCTTTCGTTCAATGTAAAAAGCCTTGTGCTAAAAATATTGTATGTACATACATACATTTTTTTTTTCAAAAAAAAAAGAAAAACTTTGTTATTTTCTAAATTTTCGAAACTTTACACCCTACGGAAACTTTATACAAAAAAACATTTTTCGCGAATGAGTTCATTTGGTATGAAAAATATGGGTAAAATGTATTTTTCACATATTTTTCATACCAATAATATTCACAAATAGTTTTTTAGTGTAGTGCCTATGTATAATTTAGAATTTGTATGAAATGTCTGAAAAATGCATTTTTCGCATGTTTTTCTGATCACATTTAACACGTTACCTTCATAAGATATAGTAGTATGTTGTAAAACGTGGTCACAGAACATCATTAGAGGGAGTGAGCGGGACGGCGGCTGGAATTCTTGCTATCCATATTTTTTTTTTTTTTTCTTTTTTACCGCGAGGAAGGTGAAAAATCTCGAAAGACACTGCCAGACGAAAAGCAGTAGTGTGGAACTTTAATCCACTAAAAAACACCCTCCTCGAAATAAACTATAAAACTACTCGAAAACGACTAACCATTAATTTTGCTCTAACCTTTTTGATTATTTACAAGTTTTTGATCTGGCACAATAGTGTACTAAGTACTCACTGTTCCAGATAAAAAACTTTAAACTAACTCGAGAGGTCTCGTACGTTTAAGTCTCCTAACAAAGTTTTGATTGTTAACCAATCGAGCCGCCTCGACGTTGACATGATTGGATAAACGCATTTTATGATTGGCTGCTTGCTTTTTAATTTCGTCTGTGACACGTAGGATCGTGTGATCCCTGTGTATATCGGCATTACGGACATACCAAGGGGCGTTTACAATGTCCCGTAATACCCTATTTTGAAATCTTTGTATAGATTGGATATGAGTCTGCGCAGCGCAGCCCCACAAATGAATACCGTAAGCCTAGACAGGCTTAAATATTTGATTATATATCAAAACATT